CTGATTTTCCAGACAGACTCACAAACAATGTAAGTAATTGCCAAATTCTTTAAAAATTTTGGACATTAACAAAAGTTCTAACCAACAAGAACAATTAAATGCCAATTAATTGCCAGTTCCTTCAAGATGGAGAAAAAAATTGTCAGTACTTCAAAAGAAAAACTGCTATTATTTCTGGTGAATGTTTTTACAATCTTTTTTAGCTATGGTTCATTGTGTGGGGTAATTTCCCCCAAAAAATACTTTACCATACTATGCCATCATAAAAACGTGCTCTATTGCTCTACCATACCATGCTGTCATGCCACTGACAGATAAGTAATGCTATACATACTTCAGTTACATTATGAATTATAAACAGAAATTCTCATTTCACAAATAATGACAATATTATTGGAACCCTGCCATCTCTTGAATAATGAGAGAAAGAGGTATTTGCAGGAACTGTCTTTAAATGACTATAAAGCTATATATCTGCTGCCTTTAATTAATAAAAAAACACTGAAATGAATTTTGAAAAAAGATTAAATTTCTAAGAAATTATATTTGTATATTTCCTTTAAAGTGAATTGCACATGCACATATTCATTTAGATGGACGATTAAAAATCTCTTTTTAAAATAGCAGCATTATCTAATGTTCTGGAATACTTTATTTTGTTTACGAGTGTATAAAAATAGAGATATAGTCTTTGTTGCTGCTTTTTCGAGAAACAATCAAGATTTTGCAAAAAAGAATAACACACATAATTTTACCATTTATAAATTTTATGAAAATAAATCATAAGATAAACATATAGCTTTAAATACCCTGTAACTCTGGTTGGTATGGTAACCTTGTAAAAGAAAATTGGATAAATTCAAAAACTAAGCAGACAACATTTTCAAAAAAGTTTCTCATATCAATCACTCATTAGAATATTTATTTAACAAATTGTTTTTTGCAACAACAAAAACTAACAAAAAAACTCAGCCGTTCATTCTTCTTAAAAAATATCCATCGGAAAAAAAAAAATTTCTCTTCAGAATCATGGCCTGTTTTCACAATCACAATTTGTTTGTTCACAATCATACACTGTTTTAATAATCTTGTAATTATACGCTAATCTGAGATTTAAAACAAACAAATGGTGTAACATTCCAGTTTTTTATAATTTGTCAATTTTTTGTCTTCAATTAATCCACCAGGCAGAATTATTACAAGAATGAAACTTTAACTGTGGGAGAAATATGCTTCGTCCTTTTAATCAAAAGAAATATTTTACTTCTTTGAGAATGAAATGTATTAAATGTATGTAATATTCCTGTGATTTGAATTTGGAAAAAACAACATGATTTCAATATAAATGAACAAAACTTGAGCTACGGTCAGTATTCGAGCCCTGGTCAGACTGAGTGGATGTGTGGGCTGGCCTGGCATTTATACTGATGGCAGACTGGTTTATCTCTTGCAGTTGCCACAAATATTTACACCATGCCTGTCTGTACTCTGCTTGATTGGCCACTTGATTTAAGTACTTTGTTATTGAAATCCTTTAAACCCCGGGTCCCACTTGGCTGATATGGTGGTAGTAAAGTCATGAAGCCTGGACTCAGTATTTTATAGTAAGGCTGACAATGGACTATTGCAAATTGAAAGCGGGACTCAGCTAAGGAGATTATATCTAAATAAAATTTGGATATTGACAAAATCAATTCATATTATTCTAACAAATTATTGTCACAAGTACTCAAAGTAATTAATAACTTAAAAATATTCATTATAATCATATGGGCAATCTTTTTGCTATATCAAAAATAGAAAATAAACATTTTAACAATTGAAACATTTCACAAAACCTGTGCAATACATTAGATGTCAAAGTCCATTTAATGCGCACCGATCTTTAACCAAAATAATGCGTATTAAGTGCATTAGAATGATTGAATACTTCATTAAATTAAAAATTTGTCAATTTACATGTTAAAATCTCACCCTCTTTAATAGCTTTTTCCGCAAATTTTCATGTTTGCGGCTCATGACTTTTTTTTTCTTTTCTCCAAAACGTTCTATTGAAGAAAATGAACGAAACACGTATTGCGTAATGACTAATTGAAAAGTTTCCATTCTTAATTAAATTTGCAGTAGCTAAAGTTTCCTCTAAGGATGTTAATTTCACATCTATTTTAACAATTTAGTGCTTTCAGACCCAGCGTAGCAGGCCGTACGCCTTCCATACCAATATTTTACATGAAATTTGTTTTAAACTTTGAAAACCCCCCCAAGTGCTTTTACTGTTTTATAATCAGAAAAATGTTCGTTTAATGCCGTGGTCTGTCCTGAAACCAAATCTGATTATCGCCAAATTTTCGTTTGTTTAATTACTTCGAACATCGGCTGTGGGAAAAAGTGCGAAATCTCGGATCGCTCATTAATGTTTTAAGGAGACTAATTTCAATCAGGAAGAGATTTACCATCAATTGTTTCCTATAAATTCACTTTTAATTGAAATAAATGATGTTACATTGAAATATGCAAAAATCTGTGATTATCAATTACGGAGCTGTTTGACATAAATTGAGGCACTTATCTTTTACATAATTTACTTTCCTAAAAGAATCTAAGAAACAAATATCATTAACATTCACTGCTTAATTTAAATATATAACTTGACAATTGTAAGAAGGCTTCTTAATTGGATTTTGATTGAAGACTTGATTGATGACATAATCTATCATCACTGATTTGTCAGTGACATCACAATTTGTCCTTTAAAGGGACTCCACTCAAGCTTTGGACTAAGAAGGAAAAGAATTATTTCTGAAATTATTATATCTTTTTGATGCAGGTCTGGAGAAATAACTTGTATCTAAAGATTCTGGTCATAATGGCTCAAAATGTTTTTTTTTTCTCCAGAATTATCATTTTAATTGCGCAAAAATTATCCCAAATAGAAAAGATTTAAACACTTTTTTATAAATTAACTCACATCAGCTGAATAATCACACAATAATGGTTGTTTATTTTCATTCTGATTATCTTTTATATATTTTTCCAATTTAATTGTTCGAATCCATTTAAGTAAGAATTTTAAATTTTATTTTTCAGGCCTTAAATATTTGACCTCACTTAGAAGCTCCTTTAAGATACAATTCTTGGAATTACTTTGTTTTATCAATTATTCAGAAATTACTTTCAATTAGCTAAATGGTAAAGTATATTTAAGGAATAGTTTTCAACTCAATTAAGGTAATACATCCGAAAGTCCAAATTGAACAAATTAGTCATTAAATGTGTATTACAATTTTAGCCTTGTGGCTAAATACATTATGTATGTAATTCTATATTGAATTTAAAATTCCATTACTCAAAGTCAATATTTATTATATTCTTAATAATAAATTCTCTCAAAACAATATAATGATCAAAATTGAAAATGGCATTGTAAATTTTAAAAATAAAATATATTACAATATCATATTTGCCAAAAAACAACAACATAATATCAATTTTCAGAGTATGTTAACTTTAGTTACTTTATATTTCTGTTTGATTACTTTTACTTACATTGCGACAAATATTCACTCACCTTAGAATGTATTAACAATAAATTATTAACCTTCAACATGATCCAAAACTGAGACTTAAACCAAATATCAAAAGTTTGATGGTCTAGTTTCTAAATTTCAAAATTTCAACCTTAATGGTTATAAGGCAAATCACTAAAGTTCACCTTGAGCTGAAAACAATAGGCATGAAATCTAAAGGGACACTGAGGGATTTTGACATAACAGGACTGGAAATAATTTTTCACTCATAGCACAAGATTAAGATTTTCAATTTATTTTAAGTATATTTCTTACTTATCTTTTTCATTTCTTTCTGTTATATTTAGTGCCCTAGCTGATCTATGTAAGAATTTCAAATTCTGTTTCCAGGCTTCTGGACCTCAGTGGAGTTCCTTTAATATGACTACATATCCGTGCCTTTCTAGATCTCAATTCTATTATTAACCCTTAAACTGCTGGAACAGAAAATGATTACTCCAAAATATAGCCAGACCTGGACATGTAGGCTGGCCTGTAGCTCTTGACTATTAAATGGAAGCTTAGTTTTGGTATTTGATAGTGAAATCTGTTAACCCATTACTTCATATACACGCCTTTTAACGCCTTTTTCACCCCCCCCCTTTTTGTTGTCTCAAATGATGAAAAAATGTCTTATTTAGGCCCCCAACACTTGTTTTTGTTTGAGAAATGTTGTTAAAAAAAGTGACCTCTTTTTCGGCGCGGCCCCCCAACCAAAAGATACATCAGGGTGTTGCCAGAAGGGGGATGTGCCCCCTTCTGTTTGGGGGGTTTGAAGGGGGGCGGAGTCCCCCTCATCGCCAAGAAAATTTTGGACTTGTGAGAGGCTGTAAATGACCCCAGATTGATCATAAGGTAACGTGTAACCAACGCTGAAAAGCATTTGACTCTATCTCAATCCATTGAGAAGTTGCAGCACTTTGGAATCAATTTTGATGGAAAAAATCAACGCAAAATAGTGATTTTTGGCAATTTTGAGATGTCCCCTCGTTGCCATGGTAACAGAAAATTTAAGCCTGAGCATGTTGTTGCAAGGGCAATGGTCCAGTCAACATTTGTGCCAAGTTTGATTAGTGTTGAAGCAGTTTTAATAGTATTATAGCAATTTGAACTTGTAACGGGAGACTTTTCAATGAAAACAGCCATTTTTCACAAAATGCTCATGAAGTAATGGGTTAAAGGGGCTCCAATGACATTTTTTGACAAGACAAGACTGGAAATAATTTTTTCTTTCTTTTGCATATCATTCTGTTTTAAGTTACCCAGCTGCTCTATGTGAGAAATTAAAATTTTATGTTATTAGGCTTTTGTACCTCAGTGGAGTTTCTTTAAACTTAAAATGGACTGTTCAGAATTTAAAAATTGAGCAAATTTGTTGCAAAAATTCAGCAGGTAAAGGTTAATTAATGTTAGTAAATGTAAAACATAACTCACCTTTTCAGATTCTGGTACGGAGAATGTTGACATAGTTGTGTTATGATTTTCTCGAGTATCACTGTGATCTGTATGATCGTCTATATCAAAACTAACTTCTTTTCTCTTCATTGTTGTAATATTCGTCATCGGATCATAGGACAGTGTCAAATGTTCATGACTATCTTTAGAATTGGTGAGATAGTGAGAGGGGTCTTCCATGTAACATTTTGGATATTTCTCGTCCGGAGCTACGATGTCTAAATTTTTTCTTGCCTTGCTCCGATGATCAAATCGTCGTAAGAAACATATAACCATGATCATGACGATAGATAGAACAGCCGTAAGTATTACAACAATTACGACTATTAAAGTGTTACTATTGTTGTCATCTCCACTAATATGTGAGGTAGCATTTAAAGCCCGTACCATGACGATCTTTAAACTAGAATTTGTCGTATGCTGCGGATGTCCACCATCTTTCACTGCTATATTTAATAAAAATGTCTGATTTTGATTGATGATGACACTTTTCTTTAAATAAATTCCGCCTAATTTTGGATCAATGAAAAACAGGTCTTTTTCATTTCCCGACGTGATGTCATATGATTTTATTGTATTAAGGCCTTCATCGTCATCCCTTGCTTCGATCTGCGTAACTTTATATCCCCTGCTTACATCACCCAGTACGATAACCGTTTTATTATTAGGTAAAGGAAATTTCAGTTTCGGAGCATTATCATTCATGTCCTTAACAAATATTGTCACGTTTGCCGAGCTTGTTAATCGAGGCGTGCCAAGGTCGAACACTACAACTGTGAATTCATAATTGCTTTTTTCTTCTCTATCCAACTGTCGATTGGTTTTAATAGTGCCGTCAGGAAAAACAACAAATGGTACTGAAAATTCGAATTCAGGTTTGATGACAAACATCATTTGAGCATTTTTGCCTTCATCATAATCAGTCGCCCTTAAAACACCAACTAGAGAGCCTGAATTTTTGTTTTCCATGATCGTGAAATTTTTAGGATTATCAATGATCGGGGCATTGTCATTTTTGTCCTCGATTGTCAGTTGAACTTTGGCCTTGTTTGACAAGGATGGGTTTCCTAGATCTCGTGCGATAACTTTCAACGTGACAACGGGAGTTTCCTCTCGGTCGAAAACTTGATCAGCGCGCAAGCTACCATCCATTTCATTAATCCAGAATTTATAAGGAGTGCTTTCCTCGTCTATGTAATATCTGACCTCACCATTCCTATCTAAATCTTGATCAGTGGCAAGAACTTGTACAAATGTTCTGAATTCTTTATAATTTTCAGGAATCATTCCTGTGAAAACAGGCTTTGTAAAAGTAGGAACACAATCGTTTTCATCTAATACTGAAACAATAAAACTTGAAGAAGCGGTGAGTGGGGGAGTTCCATAGTCGTGGCAACTTATGAGAATGTGATGTAAATCCTGAGTTTCTCTGTCTAATTTATTCTTAACAACAGCTTTGTAACCCTTTCTACCCATCGGCTGTAGTTCGAAGTTTTTGTCAGAGATTTCACAAATGACTTCACCATTTTCATTAGTATCAGTGTCAATAACATTTATATGTGCAACAAATGTTCCAGGATTTACTGATTCAAAAATCTTTTTAAACTTTGTATTTCCAGGTTCCAGCAAATTTATTTGTACTGTGGGAGGATTGTTCCCAACGTCCGTGACGTGAATTATGACGATCGCCTGGGTAACGTGCGGCTGTTTACCGTTGTCACTAGCTTCGACGATTATCCTGTATGAATTTCCTGATTCATACACCAGTTTGTTCTTCAACTTTAATTCGCCTTTGTCATGTGACATTTCGAATATACTTTTTACGCGCGAGTCTAATTGAGTGTCGCTTAACCTGTATAGAATCTGCCCATTATTTCCGATGTCCATATCTTGTGCAGTGACCTTGAGAACTGTAGATCCAATAGTGACATTTTCTCGCACTGTTATATTATAACTTGTCTGGGTAAACATTGGAACGTTATCGTTAGCATCGGTTACAGTTATATTCACAGATACAGCACCGAATTTCTTTGGATTTCCTCCATCCATAGCTATGATGACAACATTGTATTTGTCCCTCGATTCACGATCAAGCAATGCTTTGAGAACGAGTTTAACTGTAAAGCTTCCGTCAAGCTTTTGAATAACATCCAAGCTGAAATTGCCATTCTGCTGGCCAATTTCGTATCCTTGAACTGAATTTATTCCTGCATCAAGGTCAATTGCACTTTCTATATGATAGGAAGTTCCGACTGTCGCAGACTCTGGAATATTGAGTAGAACAAGACTGTGTGGGAAAAGTGGTGCATTATCATTTATATCTTCTATGATCAGTGTGACAGAAATTATCTCGAAGAAAGAGCTCTGGGGACGGGATGATCTAACAGCGATGTCAAAATTAAAGGAACATAACGCTTGAGATTGACAAACAGTTTTTGATTCCCGATCAATTACTACAGCTGTCGATAAAACCCCTGTCGTCTGCTGCAGTGTTAACAAAGTTTGTATATAATTCTGCTGAAGAAACCCGTATTTGATATGCCCAACTTCCACACGAGGGATATTTGATGAAAAACTACTTGAAACATCTCCAACGAAGCTATCCGGAGCCTTTTCCTCTTGGATCGTAAATGTTACTTGGTAATTTTGTGCCGCAATAAACTTAAGTAAAAAACTTAAGACTAGACTATGTAAACAGTTTCTTCTCCCGGATATTGCCATATCGTCTACATAGAATTGTTTTATTTGTTCACAAGATGCGGGTGGTCAAATATTCATGCTCCGAAGCTTTGATTTTCTCTCCGATTTACGTCTCTCTCACGATCTTTTAAGTCTGAAACAGAACGCAAACACATTAGTCAAAATATAACAGTCTAGTACAAGAAGGAAACGTCCTGTAAGAAAATGTAATTCTTATTTGACGGATAACTTTCCTTCTTCATTTACCCTATCAACTTATTGAGCGATGTCCCTACGGAAATAAAACAATCTAAAATTTCAGAAATTCTCTCAGATATCGTGTATTTAATCTCAGAACCTTTGTGTTATGAGAAAATATTTAACAAAAAAAGTATATTCATCAGAATTGAAATCAAAATAAGTAGTGAAAAAGTAATGAATTTGATCTAATAATATATTTCAAACTTTACGAAAATATATTGCTATGGGAAAGAAGAACTAAATGAAACATTTGAATTTAAATTGTTTTTACCGTCCACAGAAAATCACAGATTTTATTCTCAATCATAAAAATTATTTAACCGAACTTTTAAAAAAATCAAACATGCTTGCATGCTGCATCAAAAAAAAAAAAAATTAAAATTTACTGAAGACTATTTATAGCAAAATATTTTTTTTTTCTTCTCATTAAGAGGAACCAATTTTGCCTTCTGGTACTGCTATTATACCTGTGCGACCAGTGCAGACATCAAGATTTGTACTGTTTGATACTAAGTCAGTACATATTTGGGTAATGTTGTTCTGTAAATGATTAATTTTTGTGTCCAGATTGAAAAAATGGACATGCCATTTTTGATATTTTAGCATAGTAGAGGCTATAATATTAGATTGCTTGTTTTTAGAAAGAGTGCTCTTTTTGTGACATAATAATTTCTTACAAAGTTCATAATGAAATTCCCAGATTTTTCATGAATAAATAGTTATTCTGACATATTATTTTTAGTCAGAAATTAAAACTAACACTCAATACTTATTGAATAATAAAATCTTCAAATTTGAGTAAGAAAATAATAAAATCTTCAAAAACATAAAAAAATATTATGACAGCATCATAAATTTCTTATCATAAATAAATTATCAAATGTCATAATTTGAGATTTAAGACAGAACTAAAATCACCTCTTACTGGCATAAGAATACTATGTATAATATGCAACTTACACAAACATTATATAAATCATATTTCCTACAAGATAGTGGCTATTTCATATTATATTTTTTTAGTGAATATTTATTATAATTCTCACTCTCTCAAATTATATCTCACTTTCACAAAATATATCTAACTCCTCAGAAATTTCACAAATCAGAAGTTGTTAAGTAATAAATGTATAAATGAATAAATGAAAAACATGTACAAACATTTCACTTTACAGTAAAAAAATATTCTATAGTTTTGTACAGCAAATATCTTTTTTTCCGTATTTTATAAGACAATAAATTATAGTATAATCCATTATTTTTTTTTTTCAAAGTTAGTGATGCAGAGTATATTTCACTTATTAAGTAAATCCAGCAAATTATTTATTACTAGGCATAGTGAATGATATATATTAACAATTTACAATACTTTTCACAGATTAATCACAAAATTACTAATTACCTTCAAAAAAATCACAGAATTGTTCTAATCTGAATCATACAACAAAGTTATCCAACTCCAGCACTCTCTAAAACTGTTCAAATAAAACTCTGCTCTTATTTTACAGAAAAGTGATTATCATGGCAATGTTATTTTTATGGATCACCTTTTTTCCTCTTCACACAATGAAGTCAAAGAAAGCTCTTGGAGACACTAAATAGATTTCAAACATTTAATGCCATGTGTTTATTGCTACTGCCACAAGAATCAGCGAAATTATTTCAATTGAGTTTTCAGGAACAAACAATAAAATAAAATCTATTACTGGATATAAAGGAAAAAAAAATACACTGCGAATCAAAGCACAATTTCTCGACATGTCAATTGAAAATGAAAAAAACCGCACGATGACAACTCATTGACAATAAAGCTACTTCAATGTTAAAGAATCGGGGAAAAAAGAGTTACGCTTGTCACGCTAGTAAAACACTTCGATAACGACCGTATCATTACACCTTTATAATCCAGAGAATCTTTATCAATATCGTGGTCGTACTGCGATACTTTCAAAATGATCGAAGCGCTCTTAAAAAAATATCAATATCGCGGGAATTGTTTCCTTTTAAGTGAAGTGCTAATTGAGTTAAAAAGTAAATCTTGTACTTACTTAACTGAGTCAATAAAATATAAAAGTACCTTGCTGGGTTGTGTATACAAAACAAACTTTGGACATTTAACAGCAATTGACCACTTAAATACTTGGGAATACGAGTGTCAAAATCCATATGTTAAATTATCAAATATAATAAAACCTCAATTTCGATTTTTAAATCTATTTTAACAATGTGATATTTATATTGATTTTATTTCAGTATAAAAAGTTTTTTAAAAAAATACCAAATAATTTCAATTTTCAAAAGAGCACTGTTAAGCGTTGTATATAGTGCCACCGAATTTTGTTTTATAATATCCATTGTTATTGACCGAAAGATGGATAATATTATTGCGCAGGGAACACTATCAAACAAATAGTATCTGACTTAGCAAACAAATACAGCGTCTGAAATGTTTGATCAGCACGGAAAGGTAAACGGTAACCAGTCTATTAAATCCCTTCGAGTGTATTTAAACTTCAACAACTGTATTGCCTTTTAAAGCATTTTGACGTTTTTAAAAATATGAGACAATATTTCAATATCGTAAATGGTCGCTATTTTAGAAGGGAAAATGGCACCTGATACAAATTAAGAAATAACAGATTTCATTACAAGTAATGGTAAACTTGTCAAATAAAATTTACTGTTATTACCCCCTCTTATTTTTGTCACTTCTTGATGGAAGTAGTTTGAGGTTTTCTAAATTCAATGTTGAATAAAAAAACATCCTACTGCAGTGCAAACGACTTGTATTAAATCTAATTTTTTAATGTAATATATCAATGACATGGCCGTCTTTAATTGCCATTTTTCAAAATGAAGCCAGAAAGAGAAAATGGAATTCATTTGAAATCAGAAAAGAGAAAATGGAATTCATTTTAATGTTGTTGTTTTGCATTTCTTTAAAGTGGCTTTGTCATGTTTCACAAACTTGATTTGATTGTCCAAATTAATATAAAATTTGTTTGTTTGGCGCATGAGAGATATTGAATATATTTCACTGAGTGCACTGTGAGTCACCAGATGCAATATTTTTATGAGTGGTGACAAAATGCCACAAGTGAAAATAATTATTATAGTTGGCATTCACAAGTAAAATATAACTGTATTTCTTTCACACTTTTTAAAGTGTTTAATCTCATTTTGAATTTTTTAAACATTTACTTTTCTTCACTTAACTAACTGACTGGTTTTCAGTGTAATAATAATATTCTGAGTAAAATATTAGTACAATGTACATTTTGTAATTTGTACATGTGAATTAAAGTTCTTATCAAGCGACGCTAAATATCTATCAGAGATTTGCATGAAATAATTACCTTGAAAAATCATAATTACATTAAAATAATAAAATTATTGAAAAGTAATAAAAATATTATACACCTGATAACAATATAAATCATATCAAAATTCAATAAAATTCCACTTTTCTTTAAAATATCACATTAAAACTTTTATACCATTCCTAGGCTTTATTTCAAAAAAATTAAATAACAATAATGAATTTTAATAAATATTTGTCACACAACATTTTGGTGATATAGTTGGTTTTGACCGAGCCGCAGGGAATATTTTGGGTTTTATAAAGTCAGACTGGTTATCTATATCTATACTAGAAGTTTTATCTACGTTATCTCGTCCGGTAATCCTTTATTAAACCTTTCACATCAAGTCGGATCAATCTTACATATAAAACAACATCGGTCATATCAACAATACAGTGTTTTAATTGTAACATAACATAACCCGTATTTGCTTTAAAAAAAAAAAATAAATAAAAAAAGATAAAAATATAAAATAAGCAAGTAATAGTTGGAGATTCCTTAAAGATAGATATAACATATGAAAATATCAAATGAAAATTCAATCAAATATATTTGGAGAGATAAATCAAATATTTGTATATTTTGTTTGTTCGATTGAGACATGGGAAGTCTTTGATGTCTATGTTACAAGATTGCCTTTAAAAAAATATATATACAGTCAACCCTGTATTAAAAGACCATCTTACAATAAATACCACCCTTTAAATAAAGACTATACTTTCACAAACCTTATTTGATTAAACAGAACATATTAACCTCCAAATAAAGACCACTCTTTCACAAACCTTAATTGTTTAAACATAACATTAAACCTCCAAATAAAGACCACTCTTTCACAAAACTTAATTGTTTAAACATAACATTAAACCTCCAAATAAAGACCACTCTTCCACAAACCTTAACTGATTAAACATAACATTAAACCTCCAAATAAAGACCACTTTTTCACAAACCTTAACTGATTAAACAGAACATATAAACCTCCAAATAAGACCACTTTTTCACAAAACTTAATTGATTAATCAGAACATTTCAACTTCCAAATAAGACCACTTTTTCACAAAACTTAATTGATTAATCAGAACATTTCAACTTCCAAATCAAGACCATACTTTCACAAACCTTATTTGATTAAACAGAACATATTAACCTCCAAATAAAGACCACTCTTTCACAAACCTTATTTGATTAAACTGAACATATTAACCTCTAAATAAAGACCACTCTTTCACAAACCTTATTTGATTAAACAGAACATATTAACCTCCAAATAAAGACCACTCTTTCACAAACCTTAATTGATCAAACAGAACATATTAACCTCCAAATAAAGACCACTCTTTCACAAACCTTATTTGATTAAACAGAACATATTAACCTCCAAATAAAGACCACTCTTTCACAAACCTTATTTGATTAAACAGAACATATTAACCTCCAAATAAAGACCACTCTTTCACAAACCTTAATTGCTAAACAGAACATATAAACCTTCAAATAAAGACCACGCTTTAACAAACCTTAATTGATT